CCCTACTAATTCACAGTAGCAACTGTGAATTTACGATAGCTACTGTAAATTTGGACTGATTCACAGTTGCAACTGTTAATTAGGAGATATTCAGAGAGAGTTTCTTCTGCAGAAAAAATTTTTTTTTTGCCAAAACACCTCCTAAATTGAAGTTGCAACTGTAAATTACAAAATATCAAAAAAATTGTCTCTGCCTAATCCACAGTTGCAACTGTAAATTATGCAAGTATTCGTGAAAACAAAAATGTTTTCCTCCAAATGACATTAAAAGTAGCAATTAATGACACTTAACAGGCAGAAAAGGTGTACTTTCAAGTGCCTAGGCAAAAAAAGTGTGTTGCTATGCAACGTTCCAAGTAATTTGAATCAAATTGGTAATAAAAATTGACAATGACATTGGGTGAACATAAAATGATGAAAAATCTGGACTCTGCGTGAAATTGAAAAGTATTTAGAGACAAAATTTTATGTTTCACATGGCAGAAAAGAAGATGTAATGCCTTGGCTGGTTTCCTAGCCTAGGATAACTATTTTCACCAAATGACATTAAAAGTAGATTTTTAATGACACTTAACAGGCAGAGATGGTGTACTTTCACTGCCTAGGCCGAAAAAGTTCGTTATTAGCAACGTTCCAAGTAGTTAGAATCAAATTGGTAATCAAAATTGACAATGACTTTGGGTGAACAAAAAATGATGGACTATTTGGATTTTGCGTGGAATTGAAAAGAATTTGGAGAAAAAATTATATGTTCCACATGGCTTCGAAACGCCAGCCGCGGCATTAAATCTTGTACTTTTCTGCCTAGTAAAACATATAACTATTTTAGGATAACATTTCAGACGCGTCGTATACTTCAGTGGTATTCCTGATCCTCGTATATATCCTTTATTCCCATAAATACGAAACTACTATTTCGAATGAAATCTAGACCGGATAATATAAACGAAACGTGTTTTTCTTCGATATACGAAGAGAAATACGAAGACATGAAATTCTCCCTATGTCTTCGTATACATATTGGGACGAATATTATTTTCATTAATAATAACACTCTGTATGATGCAAAGACCATTAAAACGTTATTACTCTTCCATTCAGAAAACCGTAAATTATGGCACATTATAACTGCCGCAGGAATAATATCTCCTCCACTCAAATCTAGAATTCTTCCATGAAGGAGATTCCAGAATGCCTCATTTATCAAGTTGAATATTACGGTCTAGAAATATAGGTAGGTACGTATATTTCTGGGCAATGAAAATGCTCTTCATTACCTGATTTTTATTTCAGTCTCAGATTTGCCAGAGATATTATGGGATTTGAAGAGCTTTTTCGATTTACTTTTTTTCCATAAAAAAGTCTCATTACTCTCATTGTTTCATCTCAGAACAACAGGAAATTTCAGTTTCAGATAGAAGACGAAATATTCAGAAACTAGTTGTTAATGTCAGTCATGCCGTCTGATGATACTGATGGATGTCCCGAAAATGATAGCAAATATTCCAGATAGTCACTCAAAAGCAAGTAAACTTCACATGAACGGGATGATTTCAATATACAGGGTATATCAAGACGAGCTTAAGCTATCATTATATCGAGAATGCTAATATTTCAGAATACGCTCTTTTTATTTGAAATATTTTCGACAATGCAGTGTTGCCGCTTCTACTAGAAAGTAGTAGCAACATTGATATTTCAAATGGAACACCCTTTATTTAATCGCATTTTTAGATTCTCCTTGGAGAGCTAATTCCATCTTGGGGTCTATTGGAAATGATTCGTCAGAGATATTGGGTGTTCGAAATCGGGATTTTTCAACTTTAGGATTTGTTCGTGTCGAAAATATCGGTCAAAACGGCTCAATTGAGTCAACTGAAAACCTTTGATTTATATTGACACAAAATGTCTCAGTAGAATGAAAAATGTTCGAGAAGTCATACACATAATTAGGACTGATATTCAACAGACTTTGAGTTCTTGATGAAACTTATTATGCATTATAATTTTAACGAAAAGCTTCACCCCAAAAATTCCACTCCACTTTAAGCAAACATGGACTTTTACCAGAGATTTCACTCATTAAGATTTTTTACAGTGTTTATTTTACACATTGTTTACGATTTTGTCGAAATTACTGGCAACATTGTAATGAACTCTCATAGATGTCGCTTGTTACACGGTTCGTATCGCGTAGTTTTGAACATACCGTTTTTGTGGTTAGATTTTTCAATTCAAATTTGATGTGAACTTGACTGTCATTGAATTGAACATCAAAAACGCACCCTTATAGATAGAACTCAATACTGTGTAGCTTTTTCGCAATATTTTGATTTTAAAATAATGGAGTAAGAGCTGATGGTGCTATGAAATGAATTGTATTGAGATCAATTACCTATTTATTCAGATTCAAAAACAGCTGAAGTTATTCTTTGAACAAATAATCACAAGTAGGAAATTGAGAAAAAATTTACTCGAAACATAAAATATTGAATCAGTTGGAGTTGGTGTTCAAAATGTCCTCCGTTTCCACGAATACACGATTCTATATTGTTTTCTCAAGAATGCATTGTTCTTATAAACGGTTGAGAATCAGTTGTTAGGTCATTCAGCTGATGTTCAATTTCGTCTTGCAACTCTTCACGTGGATTTACCTCTGTAGCATAGACTTTTTGCTTAAACTACAACGAAACTATGTAATTTTTAGTCCGATTTGTTTCAATGATATTCTTGTGAATAATTGTTCAATCAATAAGGTTAGCATAAATGTATTGTTGATTTCGGTTTTCAATAAACAGGTGAGAGTCTATCATAATACTCACTTTAATTCATATATTTTTATACCAGCAACAGTAACATTTTGGTGTCGAATTGAATGATGTTCAAGATTAAATTAAATTTAGCTTGAACAATCTAACCTCAAAAAAGTTATGTTTGAAACTACTCGGTACGAACCGTGTAACTAGCGCCACCTACAGTCGGATATAAAAATAAACTCATGCGATGTGTCAGCTTCCAAAACACATCCATACGGAATTTCATCACAATGTTGCCAGTAGTTCCGACAAAATCGGGAAAAATGTGCAGAAAAATATGTTCAGAACACCTTGTATCTTGAAAGAGAGTTGCAGAGTTCTACCTATCCTAGCAAGGGTATCAGGTTTTTTTTAATCACCCTGTATAACTATTCCTTCAGAATATAGGTCGCGTGCACGATGACCAACCCTGGAGGTGAAATATTGAAACACAATCCCATTCTTCTGTGAAACATTGAAACACAACCTCACTTTTTTTATTTGTTTACAGAGGAATCAAAGGATTGAAATTGATTCTCACAATATATTTTGGCAGAGAGAGATGAAGGAATATGATTTTTCAGGTATATATAAATAGTAATCTCACATAGCTTCCATTAGGAAATTTTGTCATTTCTTATTGAAATTCCTGCTACCACTCCTGCAATAGAAGGTAATACTGCTAATAGATTGAAAATGTCTTAAACACACACGATCATATGTCGTCAGCAGCATGTCAGATCAGTCCTCCCGTTTGATTGCATGAATCCAATCTTCTTGCATTATGTTAGAAATTTCACTAGTATTTCTATAAGCTCCTATTGCAGAAGGAATTCCGATGAGAAATCAAGAGAAATTACCCAATTTTAAAATGAAAAATATATGTGAGTGACTATAGCAGGTACTTACTTTCAAATCATAATGAATACCAACTAGTGGTGCCCGCGAGAGTCTCGTTTTCGAGAGTCTCGCATGGTCTCGTCTCGTTTTCGAGACAAGACTCGAGACGAGACTCGGACAAGACGAGACGAGACTTTTATTGGTCTCGTCTCGAGTCTCGTGCAAGACTTCTCGTGTCTCGTGCGAGAGTCTCGCAGGTAAATATTTCTGCGTGCCGACTGCAGACTTGAGAATTTCATTCATAATAAAACATATTTAGAAAGATTTCAGACTATTTAGCACAGATAGACAAAATATTTCATTCATAAAAACTTTAAAAAACACAATCCATGATCTCTTATTGCGGCGGAAAATAAAGGCAATTCTGCAATAACGACAGATCGCAAATTGAATGACTACCTGAAAATCTATAAATAAGTAATTCTGTGCTAAATAGTCTAAGATAAAGAATAACTTTTTTTTTGACGGGATTATGGATGCAGGAGCTTCAAAAATATTATTCTGTGCCTCGGTGTAATAAAAACACATCAGATATATTGCAATGGTGGACAATTCATGCTTCTGAATTTCCCATTCTAAGTTTGATGGCACGAGATCTCTTAAGCATACCGGCTACTTCAGCTTTCTTGTTTAGATGTATGATGTAAGTATGTACCTATAAGGTACTCACTTCTCAATAAATAATGTTATTTTTATTGTGATTTGGTCTTCCTACTTCTACATTATACCTAGAAAGGAGGTAAAGGTAAATATCCCGTACTAGACTGGAACAAGATTATGCATGACGATATTGCGATACATCTGCGAGACTCTCGTACGAGACGCGAGACAAGACGAGACTGGAGGCTGCGAGACGAGACTCGAGACAAGACTTCATATTTCATCGGCGAGACGAGACGAGACTTTATGGAAGTCTCGTCTCGTTGGTCTCGTGTGAATCACTAAATTACCAACTGGATTCCTTCGTTTTCCGCTGCATTTTTTGTGCATTGTACAACAGCACAATGTGATGGCATGAGCGAATTAATGAATAGCCAAAAAATACTATTCGTATGCCAAAATACTTGTGAAAAGCTATTTCAATCACTTGTAAACAAATAAGAAAAGTGAGGTTGTGTTTCAATGTTGTGCCTCCAGGGTCGGTCATCTGACAGTTCTTGCACGCAACCCAGTGAGGAAGCCACTGTATAATTGAGGTTGGAGTCTCCTGACAGAGGTACCATTCAAAGTGAGGCGCAGTATATTTGCTAAAGCACTCTACAGATAAAATAGCAACATAGTGATGTCTGTGGATATGACGTGGATATGACACATAAAAGTCAACTTGCCAATATGGCGGACGAAAACGAAGAAGCGATTCCGAAAACCGACTCGAAAGAAAACACTGTCGAAGAAGACCAGCCCGATACCGAAGAACAACAACCAGAAGAACCACCGGAAGAACCGCAATCAGAAGAACCACAAGGACCACCAGAAGAACCACAAGCACCACCAGAAGAACAACCACATGATGGAAACCAAGAAGAACAAACTGAAAATACAGCACTGGAACCTCAAGCTGAAGGTGCACCCGCAGACGAAAATATTGTCGAGGTAACAGATGAAGTTCCAGAAATGGTGGATCGGAAATCAGTGCCAAGTAGAGAAAGGTAGAAATCTGTTTTTTTTTTCAGATATATCTTGTTACAGATAGAACTAGCTTGCTAGTGGGGACTGTAGCAAAGTAGAGATGAACTCATTAGAGTTTGTCTGAGCTTTCGGAAATGTATATTTCCATCATCAGGGCAGCTACAAATAGTACGGAAATAGTATATTGTTTAACGAGCACGGAATGATAGTGATTTCCTACGAGAATGAGTAGGAAATTAGCATTCCGTGCAAGTTATGCACTATAATTTTTCTACGGCTATAATAGATAACAGCCGCATTTTCGATTTCTTCGTCTTGTAGTCATCTGATTTCCTGTCAAGTAATGCTTATCTATTAGACAGAGCTGTCATTGCTTGAGATTTGACATTCCATAGGCGATGAGTTTTTTTTTAAATAATAACACAATGTGAAATCAGATAAGGAATAGATATTTACGTAATCAGTTAGGAAACGCGTTGTTTTGTGTAACGATGGGATTTTGCGGGACGAGCGAAGCGAGATCCCGCAACATCACAGAGTTACACAAAATGGCGTTTCCTAACGTGTCACGTACAATATTTTTTCTAATTTTGACGAAACATTTCGCATGAACAAAAATAATGACCAGTTTTACATGAGTTCTGCCGACTCTTGTTGTGTGAAATGAATGAATGAAATGAACATTACATCACCAGTTATGTAAAATTTTACTTTACGCAACTGGTTACGTAAAGTAAGACGTTTCAAAACTTCCGTCAGTTTTGAAAAGTGACACATTACATGTCAAAATTAGAAAAATAAAATTGATGACATACAAAGTACCTCATTGATGTATGGAATACAGAAAAACAAGAGCGATCTTGTGTTATAGCCGTAGAAAATAGTAGATTGTTTTATTACGATCAAAAGTGACACTTTGCTTGACAAGCGAAGCATGTTCGAGTTGTAATTTCAATATAAATACAATCACAGAGTGACATATTTGTGTATGGACCAGGTGCTCTAATGGCAAATACCGCGCCAGTGCCAGGTATAGGAACAAGACGTGGCAAATTTTAGGTTAGTGAGCATATCAACAATAATAATAGCGATTATTTATTCCTCTCCATACCACACTCTGTTTGACTTGATAATAAAATAGAGGTAAACAATATCGTTGTTTGAGACAAACAACTATTGCTTGCCGTGATTATTCAAAAACGAATTATCCATCTCGAGAACAAGGAATGAAATACAGATCAAGCAAGTATGTGAATCTGGTCAGAACAAAAATACTTAACTGAGATGTGTGTAATTCCTATACTCAACTATAATAAGGTGTATTTATATCTCGAGGATGGGTATGAAATGCCAAATCTGCCGAAATCGGAAACAAATCAGTTATGCGTCCTAACCCAAATAACCAACCGTAACAATGTTGTTTATCTTTGATGATTCAGTCGTCCATTATGATATCAAAATTAGGTCTTAAATTGACGTTTCTATTACTCACACAAAAATAGGTATGTTGCTAGACAACAAATTTAGTTCCTAGGAGCTAAAGTTGAATTTTAGTTCCTAGGAGCTAAAGTCCTAGGAACTGAAAAGGATCTACTGGACGTCATCAAGAATAAACAACATTGTGATGGTTGGTTATTTGGGTTGACACGCATACCTGATTTGTTTCGGATTCCAGCAGATTTGGCATTTCATACCCATGCTGGAGATATAAATACACCTTATTATAGTTTAGTATTGGAATTATAAACATCTCAGTTGAGTATTTTTGTTTTGATCAGGAAAGCCTTCAAGATTCGAATACTTGCTTGATCTGTATTTCATTCGTTATTCTCGGGATGGATAACTTGTTTTTGAATAATCACGGCAAGCAATAGATTTTTTGTCTCAAACAACGATATTGTTTAGCTCCATTTGATTATCAAGTCAAACACAGTGTAGTATGGAGAGGAATAAATAATCACTATTATCCTTGTTGATATGCTCACTAACCTAACATTTTCCACGTCTTGTTCCTATAGCTGGCACTGGCGCGGTATTTGCCATTAGAGCACCTGGTCCATACACAAATATGTCATTCTGTGGTTGTATTTATATTGAAACTACAATTCGTGTTAACCTGCTGTTAATGCAGGTAGAATATTCTCACCACATGGATTATTTGTCAATATTTGTTGCATTGCATACATATGGCACAGCATTGGTGGTCACTTCACATGTTCATTTAAGTTAATTGTTTCGGTTGCAGAAAAAATCGCATGTTTCATTCGGATCAAAAGTGACTTTGTTCGACTCGCAAATTTTGCTTTCGCTCGGCTTCGCTAAACGCTCCGCCTCGCAAATTCAAAATTCGCTTGTCAAACAAAGTGTCACTTTTGATCCAAATAAAACAATCTACTATTTTTGATTTGATGTATTACAGCACATTTTTTCTAAAAATGCTCGTACAAAAGTCAGTAATATGCTCATTGAATTTCCGCAACAGGTCCTTCGGCAAATCCAATTCGACGTTGAAGGTCCCTAAACGGTCTCAGGACTCAGGGGCTCTGAGACCCTCGCGCGAGCTGAGCCGGCGCGGCAACAAAGAGGGTCTCAGCAGCCGAGCGAAGATCGTGGTGGGGGACGTGATCGACATCAGAAGATCCGATCTGGCGGGGGACGTGTGCGACAGAAGGCCGGCCAAGTACATGAACTCCTACGTGATGAGCTCTCAGAATCCCTTCAATCCCGAAAAGGTTGGTAGTCTTCCAGGGGTGTGTGGTGAAACTGCATTAATCATGCGACGGGTTTGTTTCGAAAAATTTTTTCGGTACTTACGTATTTTTGTCCGGAAAATACGAATGTGGAAATGAAAATGTGAACAAACTATGATTTATTAACATATTTCACTATAAAGTAACAAATTTCTTCTTAAATACTGTCTGTAGGTTAATCGAGGAGGTGGTACATTCATTTTACTTGATTTTTTGGGATTTTCTCTCCTCGTTTCTATAAAATAAAAATATGCGTATTATTTCAATATGTTTGTAGTGGGACAAATCAGATGATTTGCCCCAAAATGTCACTGCGTTCAACGAATTTTTCCTAAAAGAAAAATTCAGTAGCTTGTCAGTGACAATTTGTTTGAAAAATGTTTGAAGGAAAGAAATATAGATATATTGAAAAAATATCGAATTTTTACTTATCTTTGGACGTTTCGGGACCGAATCTGCTCCCGTTCTCAACATGAAAATGCAAATTATGTTTCTTTGAAAGTTGTGCTGCGTATAGTTTGACACTTTTCAGTGTAATACTGATGTTGGAATATAAATGAGTGATTTTAGTCTACAAATGAGTTACAGGATGTTTTCATTAATTGATATTGAATCTATCATTTTCATTTTCAGTTTTCAGTAGTGAATACCATGTTCTATCTATATCAACTGAACAGGAAGCAATGCTATTGTCTCCGTTCAGAAGAATGCAAGCGGATTCCTTGATTTTCCTTTTTTGGTTGTTATCTTCCTTTTCTATGATTTTGAAATTATTCTACTCTGCCATATGTTGTCCATCTTCAGTAAGGAAATTGTATTTATAGTATACCTTGTGTTTGTGGAAAGTATTATACAGGTGAAACGAAAAGACCTCTCTCAGTAAAGACTGAAGAACACAAGTACAATATCAAGAAAAGACATATCGATAAATCGAAGCTAACTGAACATATCCTTACTGAAGATGGACAACATATGGCAGAGTGACATAAAATAAAAATCATAGGAAAGGAAGATAACAACCAAAAAAAAAATAACAAGGAATCCGCTTGCATTCTTCTTCTTCTTGATATAGATAGAACATGGTATTCACTACTGAAAAATGAACATGAAAATGGTAGATTCAAGATCAATTAATGAAAACATCCTGTAACTCATTTGTAGACTAAAATCACTTATTCATATGTCAACATCAGTATGACACTGAAAAGTGATAAGCAGCAACTTCCAAAGAGAAATATTTTGCATTTTTATGTTGAGAACGGGAGCAGATTCGGTCCCGAAACTTCCAAAGATTAGTAAAAATTCGATATTTTTTCAATATATCTATATTTCTCTCCTTCAAACATTTTTCAAACAAATTGTCACTGACAAGCTACTGTTTTTTTTAGGCTCCCTGATAGAAAAATTTGTTAAACGCAGTGACATTTTTGGGCAAATCATCTGATTTGTCCCACTTCCACTACAAATATATTGAAATAATACGCATATTTCTATTTTATAAAAACGAGGAGAGAAAATCCCGAAAGATCAAGTAAAACGAATTCAACTTGGAGTTTACTGAAGTAAATACAGTTCATACTCATGAAACGAGACAGTTGAATTCATTAATAGCAAGCCCATATAACTTACTCCTTTATTGGCAAACAATCAGTATTCTACAACGGAATCATTTTATAGAGATAGATTCAAAGTCAATATGAAAAAATATATACTGATGACACTATAAACGGAGCAATTTATTTTCATTTGAATTCTTGAAATGATTTCATCTTAATTGTTATGTTATACAGTGTGTCCCACTTACCATGCTCACCATGAGTATCTTTTTAACGGTGAGAGATACGAGGTCGGTTAAAATGACACCAAATGTGGAGTTTGTCAAGGCCAACTTCAATGTGAAAAAATATTTTGATAAAATCTATTCGTTTTTGTTTTATACGCAAAAAACAGATTTTGATCATTTTCATGTCTCCTCCGTAACTTCTTTATTTATGAAAATATTCAAATAGGAATTTCACATTCTCATGGCAGTTTTTCAAAGTGATTTCGAAAAGAATATGAAATTTATACCAACTCTTCTAGAATTTGAGATATCAGCACCAACTTTAGTTTTTCAAATGTAGGTCATAGCTCACTATGACTTAGTTACAAATAACTTTTTTTTCTTTTTCAGATGATGTGTCGCAGTAATAGTTTTGTGCATGTTGATAACAACGGAGTTATCGTCATTTATACAAAAACAAAAAATTATTTGGAAGCCTCCATTTTGAATTTATGAATTTCAACAAAAAAATCATGATCTCCGACCTCAAAAACCCCCACTTACCAATTTTGAATGGAATCGGACCAAATCTTGTCCGCCATCTTGGAGCTGCCATTTTTTTTTTAATTTCAACAAAAATTCCATAACTCCGATTAACTTGGAATTTGGCAGGTGTTCATAATTTCGGTGACAATACATTATGGAATTTTTCGAAATCACTTTTAAAAACTGCCATGAGAATGTGAAATTCCTATTTGAATATTTTCATAAATAAAGAAGTCACGGAGGAGACATGAAAATGATCAAAATCTGTTTTTTGCGTATAAAACAAGAACGATTAGATTTTATCAAAATATTTTTTCACATTGAAGTTGGCCTTGACAAACTCCACATTTGGTGTCATTTAACCGACCTCGTATCTCTCACCGTTAAAAAGATACCCATGGTGAGCATGGTAAGTGGGACACACTGTATTTTGAATAACTCGTTAGTTATTTTTTTTTATTTTTATGTATACAGGGTGTTTCAGTTTTTCGTAGCAGGACTTTAACAGCTTGAAGAAGACATTTTTTCAAGATGAAAATCTCAAACAAACATATATGCGTGGGAGCTTCGTTTCCGATTTACAGGGTGTCAAAGTTTCAGATTTTGTTTAAATATTTTGAATTTTCTCCTACAATTTTCGGAATAATTGATTGAAATTTGGTACACTTAATACACTTCAAAAACTCAATATTGGAGGCTATTGAGCGTTTTTGAATACCTACAGGGTGATAGACTTTCAGGGGTCGTACCCAATTTAACCCTGTAGAACTTTTTTGCGTGCTGCCTCTGCTTTCAATGGGACATAGATTCAGATTGTCTCTGCAATTTGGAAACTTTTTGCATCCACGTAAATTTTTCGAAAACTGTATGGATCTCGAGATAAATGCCAAAAATTCAAAATTGATGGAACTGATGGCATTTTTCCTTTGGAATTTCGAAAAAACATTGATGATGGCTAAAAATAGGTCGAAACACATTCGTCTCACCTTGTATAATACATGGTTGAATTCAAAATAAAAAAACCTTTTAAAATCTGTGAAAAAATTATCAACAGTAATTACACAAGTGGTGGTAATTTTTTGATAATTTTAACTAGATGCACGAATCTTTGTTGCTATAGAAATTTCACGAGTGGACGAAGTCCACGAGTGGGATTTCTCAATAGCAACAAAGACGAGTGCTAAATCTAGTTAAAATTATTTAAAAAAATAACCAACACGAATGTAATTCGGCGTGATTATTTTTTTTACTATTTCGCAAAATGCCCCAGAATATGTTTATTAAACAATTATTTATTGAACAATCATTTATCATACAATTATATATCAAACAATTATATATCAAACAATTATATATCAAACAATTATATATCAAATAATTATATATCAAACAATCAAGAATGTTTACAATTTACGTTTGTAATGGTGCAATTATTGTATGTTATTGTACAATTTCCTTGAGATGAAGAGGTCGAAACAGTGTTTCCTCTCAAGTTGTTTATCATGCTTGCGTGATGCTCTTTGTCAAGTTGAAGATAGGGTTTGATGGAGCTTGCAGATGAATGTCCAGTTATCTTCAACAACTGCTGCTCACTTACTCCACTTTTAGCGAGTTGTGTCACAGCAGAAGAACGATGTGAATGGTTTGTAACCTTGATTTTGCTAGGATCCAAGCCAATCTTTCGGGCCGCTTGTTTTGTCCATTTTGCTATTTCATTTTGTCCTACCGGAAGATTTTTGTACCACCCCTTAGACAAAGGTTGCTGCCAATTTGGATTAGGTGTTAAAAATAAACGATCAATTTGAATATTTGCACTTCTTTTCGACATTAACTTCCGAAAGAGACGTACTGGACATTTTTCAGTCTCATTTTCATTTGGCGTTAAAAATTTGCTATCAGATAACCTGTGCGATCCTCCTTGTGCTGTTTTAGAAATTATTGGATTATATTCTATCCTTCCAGTTTGATTTCCATAATGATCCATTTCTTCTCTAAAATACTGTACTAATGCTTTTGTCGCTTCTCCGCCTCTCCAAGCCAATTCGTAGCTAGCAGTATGATAAAACTTCCTTTGTAAGCCATTTGGAGTATTTTCGTCCCATGCTGCTATCATTTTTTCTATTTCTTCTTTCTTGAGAGCAACAGAAGATGCTTTTCTTTTTTCAGGAATATGTTGAAGTTCTCGACGTTTGCAATTCCGCGCATCTCGCGCGGTCTTAAATTCAATATCAGTGAACGGATCAATGTTTCTATTATACTCCCTGAAATATTTTTCCTGGATAAGTTTTGCGGTGACATTCCACAAAGTTTTGACAACAGATTCTTTGTAGTTTTCTCCATTTTTTTTTCGCATGTTATATGCCCAGTCCTCCATAATTGATGCGATTTGTTTCATCTCGGTTGTTGCAGTCAACTCATAATTACGTTCAAGGCAGAACTCCAAAAACTGTTTCCATATCGTATTCTTGCTTTTTGTGGTGTTGATTGGTGTTGCTTGTTCGACAGCTAAATGTATTGAATCAGCCGAGCTTTGACCAAATCTCGTGCTCATGTCGGTTTCTGTTAATGACTAATAATAATTGTAAAGTTTTTCCGAACCTATACCAACTCGTTTAAACGTTAGAGAAAATCACAAAATACGAAGTCTGACTGATACTTAACAATGGCGTCGGTT